GGGAAACCGAATACGGATCCCGATTAGGATTCCGTAGACGGATCCCGATGGGGAAACCGAATACGTATCCTGATGGAGAAACCGAATACGTATCCTGATGGGGAAACCGAATACGAATCCCGATGGGGAAATCGAAAACGGATCCCGATGGGGAAACCGAATACGGATCCCAATGGGGAAACCGAATACGAGTCTCGATTGGAATTCCGTAAAAGGATCCCGATGGGAAAACCGAATACGTATCCTGATGGGGAAACCGAATACGGATCCCGATTGGGATTCTGTAGACGGATCCCGATGGGGAAACCGAATACGTATCCTGATGGAGAAACCGAATACGTATCCTGATGGGGAAACCGAATACGAATCCCGATGGGGAATTCGAAAACGGATCCCGATGGGGAAACCGAATACGGATCCCAATGGGGAAACCGAATACGAGTCTCGATTGGAATTCCGTAAAAGGATCCCGATGGGAAAACCGAATACGTATCCTGATGGGGAAACCGAATACGGATCCCGATGGGGATTCCGTAGACGGATCCCGATGGGGAAACCGAATACGGGTCCCGATGGGGAAACCGAATACGTATCCTGATGGAGAAACCGAATACGGATCCCCATTGGAAAACCGAATACGTATCATGATGGGGATTCCGTAGACGGATCCCGATGGGGCAACCGAATACGGATCCTGATGGGGAAACCGAATACGGGTCTTGATGGGGATTCCTGTACATTGCAAAGATTGTTTCTATATGTCCTATTTTTGCAATACAAATTATATCTATGTGTCGGACACATACTGAATATGTGTTCATTCTATTTATTTGACTCATAAATTTCATGTGCGCTTCTGGGTGAATTCTGTTTATGTGTGGTCACATGTAAATCATGTGGAATTTTACATGGGAATTCTTCAATAAAAATGTGTGGAATTCTATTATTCTTCTTTCCTTTATTTAACGTCGGTCTCTGTTCCGCAATCTAGTGCCAATCACCGACGGACATCGATTGCCATCCATTGACGGCAATCGAATGTGCAGGAAGGCAGCTTCCACACCTGCGTAGGATATCGCACCCATTCAACATACATGGGCCGGGACCAACGGCTTTACTTTTCTTCCGAAGGAAGACGTGACCAGAGATTTTTATGCCTCAGAAAAATCCCACCGACCCCGGCTGGGATTGAACGCAGACCCATTGGGGTGTTAGAAAGCAGTCACGCTTACCACTACACCACGGGCGCCGGCATGGAATGCTATTAGTGTAGTGCCATTAATTTTCGATCCGTGTGGAAAACCTGGAATTGGGTTGTATAGTTTCGAAAAACAAACAAATTTTTGTACATCATCTGAACGAGCTTCGTTTTCTGAGCACAAATATATTTTTATCGTTTCCAGACATTCATCTCGATTTGTAAACCAAGATTTAAATTGTCGATAAATTGTATTAGATGAAATTAATATCCATTAAATGAGAGTTCGCTCTATGGCGAGGGCCGCTAAAATGGTGATATTTGCAAATGTAATCGCACTGATTTATCATAGTTCATGTGAACCAAAATTTATGAAATTTTGGATTTAGGTTCCATTTTTAAACGATTTTTTTTTAAGTCTATCAATATTGGATTCAGAGAGCAAGCGGCGGTAAGCTCCAACACGGATTAACTTTCAATACCGTCCCTGTTTGGATGATCTGCGAATTGTTTGTATAGCGAATAACTCTGATATCGACATCAAAGCAGCCGGATATTCTTGATCGGGATTTAATCCGAGGATAATACCGATTGGAACTTAGCCATAAGTGATTTAATGAATTCGCTGATTGCGACTCTCTGAAAATTAAATGCACAGGTTTTATACGTCAAACTCATCCTTTGCAACGTCCTCTTGTAACTTAAAAATACAAAATGTCATCATAACGTATAATGACTTCATAATTCCGGAAAAAAAACATGTTTCCGGGCGGAATAAGTTTCATCAAGCCTTATGATGGTACACAAGATTGGCCACAAGCAGTGGCGTTTCCTTAACCTCAATCTACCTGTGCACCAGCTCTCAAAACATAAACAATTATCAAAATATTGCTTGCAATGGATGGATATCGAGTAAACTAGAAGATTAAGTGTATTTTTCAACCGATTCGAGTATGAATAAGGCATTAAATCTGGTTTTGTATAACAAAGTTGCGCCAACTAACTCGGTCCCTGGTTGCTTGTCTCCAATTTCTCGAGCGTCCCACACTTCCTACATCTTGCTCCACTTGGTCTATAGTCTATGGTCTATAACCACCTAGCACGCTGTGCTTCTCTGCGTCTTGTACCGGCCGGATTTGAGGAAAACGCCATTTTTGCGGGATTGTTGTCCGGCATTCTTACAACGTGTCCCGCCCATTGTACCCTTCCACCTTTAGCGACTTTCTTGATATTGGGTTCGCCATAAAGTTACGCCAGTTCGTGGTTCATTCTTCTCCTCTATACACCATTTTCATATACCCTGCCAAAGATGGTCCTAAGCACGCATCGTTCGAAAACTCCCAGTGCTCCTCGAGCATTGTCCATTGTCATATTTTTCATGCACAATAATTTTGTTTATTATATATTTGCAGTTCGTCAATAAGGTAGAAGACTGGCAGCCCAAAACTTTCCGCATTTTTGGATCATCTGTAGAACAGGCAGAGATCTGGAGGCGCAGCGATCACATTGTCATGATTGTCTGGTAGTTCACTCAAAAATGCTATAACAATCGCCAAGCTCGCTGTAATGTCACCAAGTGCCTCGTCACCCACGAATAGGTGCCTATGTCAGTGGTCTAACAACTCTTAGCGCGCTAATGGCATAGTTCCCCTGCCGCATAGAGAGTTGCCACAATGATATTAGGTTAGCTAAGGTCAGTTAACTGACTGGTGGGAAACGGGAGCTTAAGCAATGGCTATTCTTTATGCATTTAAGAGATAGTCTACCAGAATGGATAACTTTTTTTGTACAATTTTATGTTTTCTGATGGTTTCGGTTGTGCAAAACATGAGAATTAACTTTTTCAATGCTTTCAATTGTACAAAGCATTAGAGCTAGAAACATGATGTTGTAAACACTACACACCTTAACTGGTAGTTTGCTAAAAAAAAATGCTACAACAATCGTCAAGCTCGCTGTAATGTCACCAAGTGCCTCGTCACCTACAAATTGGCGCCTATGTCAGTGGTCTAATAACTCTTAGCGCGCTAATGGCATAGTTCCCCTGCCGCATAGAGAGTTGCCGCAATGATATTAGGTTAGCTAAGGTCAGTTAACTGATTGGTGGGAAACGGGAGCTTCAGCATTGACTATTATGTACGCATTTTTATGATGCTATCTAACAACAATGGTGTGTAGTGTTTACACGATCATGTTTCTTATTCTAATGTGTTGTAAATATAATTGAAAGCATTTGAAAAGTAAGATTCTAGTGTTTTGTATATCTAAAAACATTAGTAAACATCTACATTTGAAAACATTCAAACAACGTTTACTTTAAACGTTTTGTACATCTGAAAACATCAGAGAACAACCAACACGAAGTACAATTGACAACATCCGAACAACGTTTAGTTCTAACGTTTTTTACATCCGAAAACATCCAAAAAACGTTTGGTTCTAGCATCGGGAAACATCTACGTTAGAAAACATCAGAATACATTTACATATAAAAACATCCGAACAACGTTTAGTTCTAACGTTTTTTACATCCGAAAACACCCAAAAAACGTATGATTCTAACATCAGGAAACATCTACATTAGAAAACATCAGAAAACATTTACATATAAAAACATCCAAACAACGTTTAGTTCTAACGTTAAGTACATCCAGAAACATCCAAAAACGTTTGGTTCTAACATCAGGAAACATCTACATTAGAAAACATCAGAAAACGTTTACATATAAAAACATCCGAACAACGTTTAGTTCTAACGTTTTCTACATCCGAAAACATCCTTAAAACGTTTGGTTCTAATGTCAATAGATTGAAATTTTTGACGTCAGACCGACATTAGAATGGCAAAATTTTGTTCCAAAATTTCTGATGTATACACCATGTTACGTTGCTTAAATACAACTAAATCATAATGTTTTCTAATGTTTGACATCAGGCATACATTTGATTTCGATGCTGATGTAGACATCAGAATCAAACGTTGGGCTAATGTAAATTTCTATTCGGGAGTGTGAAATCGGGAAAACATTGAAAAGATTAAAGTTTTAAAAGTGGCCAAATTTGGACGAAACGTTTCGGTAAGTAGTACGGACGTATATAGCATAACGAGTATTGACTTCGTTTGTATGCGTGTGTGTCTTTTTAGGAGAGCTCACGTATTTGGGTTGTTGTGCTAAGCGGCTACAATCTTTGCTCGAAAGATTGACCCATAGTCAACCCAATAATTCCCGGGATACCGTGAAAGCCATCTTGATGGTGCAAGATGCATTCAGGTAAGTAAAGTGTACACATTAAAATCAATCAACAATGATTGAATGTTTGATTTTAACTAGGCCGATTAAAACATGGGGTTGTTCCACCCCGACATTTTTACAGGTCGTAGATGAGGGCAAGACGTCATCCCTCTTCGTCTACCGATTCTGCCAATGCCGGTGGATCCCCGAAATAGATCAGGTAAGTATGATCCATTCCCAAATTGTTAGCTATCCTTCCGTTTAATGACTGACCGGATTCCTTCATCCCTCAGTCCAACTTGGATAGGTATAGACTAACCAAATTAACGATTCTCCTTAACAAATTAACACAATCGACTAACATTCCATAGTCCTTCGGTGTTAAAAATTGATAAAAATTTACTTTCTCTTTTTATATTCCAGGTTATTTTTCATCCGACACAAACCGACGTTAGCCCTTGTGACTGGGGACAAAAAGTAATTCCCACACGACACTGGATGACGGACTTGTGAGTGGAATGTACCTAGGAATAAAAAGGAGAAAATATATGTTTCTAAATTGTATAAATTTAGAACGATTTGTTTTTCTTTTTGTGGTGTTTGAAAGAATGGGTTTGGGTTCCAGGTGTGCATCCGGAACGCGGAATATTCCTAGAATGTTCAAGTTCCAAAATCGATATAAATTTACTGCACAGTTCTTTGGCCGTAGGTTCCTCTTGAATATACTTTGTGGCCTTTTTCCTGATCTTGAAAGATCGGGTTTGCTTTCTTTGGGATTCGGGGTTCGAAGTTAGTGAGTTTGAAGTTTGGAAAGCTCTACCAGGTAAGTCGCGAGGACAGTTCGAAGAAGGAAGCTTCGACTTACTGGTATTTTCCTGGCTGTAAAAGCCGGAACTATTGCGTGACATGGGGCTTCTGTACGTTCCCTTTTTGACCTGAAGCACACGGACAGAAAATTGTTTGCATTGAACCAAACAAAACTTTAGTTGTATTTAAACAAACAATTCCGGTTGAAATTATGTTGCATTTTGTTGTTTCAATAATACTCATTCATATAAATTCAAAATAGGATTCTTTTTGTTTTAATAAGCCACTTTTCAACTGCAACTATTGTAAAAATAACAATATTCTTTTATTAATCCAACAATAGTTCATTTTAATTTAGCATTTATTTGCTGTGTCCGTTCCCCGGGCCATGAATGCAAAAATAACTACCAACCATTCCCTCGTTTCACCCGGAAAAAATGTAAACAATAACAAAACTTGTGAATTTCGGGAAATAAGTGCAAAATTTCCGAAAATCTTGAGACTTGAGGTAAGTAAGTATGCTGCAGTTTGAGCTGCAGTTGCTAAATATAATCAATTTTTTTCCTTGATTTTTTTTCCGTCGATCTTGTTTTCCGTACTGAGTACCAATGCTCCTGACGCCAGGAAGGCAGCTTCCTCACCTGGACCCTACATATCGACCCATCAACTAATTAACTGGGGACCAACGGCTTTACTTCCCTTCCGAAGGATGATCAGTGAAAAAGAAAACAAAACATAAAAAAATTTGCCATATTATTTCCGGAGTGATTTGAGATTTGGGCGTAATTGCATTTGTAAACAAATACGTCAATCACCGATTTCTCGCGAATAAAAGCTCAATCCCGAAAAGTAATAACACTATGAGGTAGAGGAATGATTCCTCTATTATTTGGTATAGTTTGTTTGTGAGATTGAGCTTTTATTCAAGAGAAATCAGTGATTGACCTGTTTGTTTTCAAAAGTAATTACGCCCAAATCTCAAATCACTCCGGATTTTTGAATCAATAAACATATTTTTATTTCTACTGCATGAATTGTCAGACTTCATAAAATAAATATGATTGAATCAACAAGAAATCTCTTTTAAAAACAAACATATTTTTGTTGATGACCCAGCTGCCAAATTTGACAGCTTACGTCAAAACCATGAAAGCTCTTGTAAATTCGAAAAGATTTTCTTTTTGATTTAACAATCCATGGATTTTGAGGAACAAAAATACTGGATTGTTGAAACAATAATGATTTCTTTTTGCAGCCAAAACAAAATGAAATTCTTATTGATTTTACGTCAAATATTATTACGTTTAAAATATTTTTTTCTGCGTGCAGGTCATCCGAATCTGAATCGGATTTGCTGGAGGACGGATCTAAATCTTCCGAGTCAGAGCTGGGAACTATCAGCACAATATCTGATTCCGGGTCCGACTCGGGTTCCCTGTATTCGCATGTCGCGCTAGGTGGTAAAAATCGTGAATTAATGTCACTAGTGATGATGTTCATGTCACGCAAAAACAGGTTCATAATTCGTTTAAGTTTACTTACGTCTTCTGGCATGAGGCGGCCTTCTGTCCTCTGATTCCTCAATGTAAACAGAGTTTCTTCGAGGTCCAGTTCCAACTCCTCTAGCGGATAGTTGGGATGTGAAGATGGGAGCAGCCTAGGAATCCCAAGTGATTCCTCCAGGTCCGAATCATCTGCATCGTACTCCTCTGCTTGCCAGGTAATTGGCTCATAATTTGTTTGAGCCTTTGCTAGTTTCTTGCGTGTCATTGTTGTGGAGAATCAGTGGTGTGGGTAGTGGGTTAAAATAAATTTGTATAAAAACATCGCGTATGCGGATCAAAACAAACAGTGATAAACATCATTACAAATAGTGCGCGATTGTTGTCGTGATGATTGGACATGAAATAAATAAAGTTCAATTATGATTTATGATTTTTTTTTACACATAAACGATTCGCGATAAAAAAAAAACAAAAATAACCAACATCAACGAATTTAGCAATGAAAAAAACAACAATCGGTAGCAAATTGGGTTCAGGACCTCTTTTAATGAAAAACACTTCGAGTTTCGCAAAAATTTCACCAAAGTGCTAAAAAGTGAAGTGGAGACAAACATACGTGCAAGCACGGATCTCTGCCACCTCCCGTCGGAAAAATCCTTAGATTTTTGTATACTACGACGGACCCTTGATTACCTTTCGCGGACTTTTAGTTGGGCGCCAAGTATAACTGATGTAAGAACTCAGCACTCACCAACTACCTACTCGGAGATCAAACATACAGCACCCGGTCGACTCAGGCGACAAGAGCAAGCTCCGGAACACCCAGGGTCGGCTAGCTACCGGGTAATCAAAGGGTTTCGCGATACAAAAACGAAGAACTTTCACTTTTCTTTAGATGCTTTTATTTGCCACTTTCTGTGTTGTGTGCGTGTTGTTCTGTGTTTATAATTTCGTGTAATTTGTGTCGTGTAGCCTAATCGTGTTATTTACTGTACCGGTACATACCGCTGCTGCCGTTGATGGTAAATCGGGATGGCCAACACAGTGACTCCTGTCCTACTGTGCGGCCGGAACTCTCGCCAGATTGGCGAAGCGAGCGGATGACAGGCCAGCGGGCGTTGCTGGACGATGGGATAGCAGGCGTCGTCCTTCGTTGGCACGATCGGCCGACCGTGGCAAGGCCACCTTGGTCAAGCCGAGAAGGGAAAACTATTTTGCGATTGGCCAGATAGTAGTGTTTCGGCTCGGAAACTGTTTCCAATATTTCCCGAGCCGGCCGTGTGCTGACGGATGACCTTTTTAAGGTCCAATATAAAAAAGAGGTCCTGAACGTTAAATTTCCCTAGCGCACACTAGCTGTTGCTAGGGGGGGGGGGGTCCTGGTTCACGTTCAAAAACAGCAACCACTGCACTTAGCTAATTAAAATGCGTCTTAGCACACGGACGCCTGATATTAAAAGAGGCCGATTTTGGGCAATGGCCGTTCTTTCTCCCAATTTTCCTTCATCCCGTCATCCCGTCATTCTTGTTTGTATAGTTGTTTGTAGCTCTATGGTGGACATAACGTAACGGCACAACATTTTCACAGCGGTACAGAACCCTATCACTTCTGTGGTATACTACTGTTTTTGCACAAGAAACGTGAAGGTTCTGAATATATAACATAAATGACAAAAACCTATGAATTTGTGACCAAACGGTTACACTTGTGTCACTTTTTCTCCTTTTTCTCGAGTGAGTGAACTCAAACCACTCAAACCCATCGGTGCACTCGTCCATGCCGTTTTCGAACTCGTTCGAATCGAGTCGTTCGTACGAACGAACGATCGTACGAAAACGGGAATTGGAAGATTGCCGCAAAAGCTCAACGCAGATGTCACCAGTGCATGATGATGATAATGTTGACAGACTGCAAATAAAATTCGTGAAAATTAGCATTAAATCATAATTTTCATCAAGTCTGCGTAAAATCCTTCCAATATGACATTCGAATTGAAGAAGAAAACGTTTTTACGATCAGACTGATGTGCATCTTTGACTTTTCCAGATGAACTTTCATAAGATATATTCATTTCATTTCATGGCTCCATCAATGCTGCATCGTAAATATGATGTACAGAAGTAAATTGCTCAATTACTCAAAATAAAGATGATTTGTTATCTTGTTATCACTTTGACGACAATCTAGCACCATTTTATACACTGATAAAATGTCAAAGATTGTTTTTATGTGTCCCACACATGAATTTTTGCAATGTGATCAACAAATGATATTTATGTGTCGGACACATACTTAATATGTGTAAACAGAAAAGCCATGTGTAACCACACATACTATTCATTTGACTCATAAATTTCATGTGTGCTTCTGGGTGGATTCTGTTTATGTGTGGACACATGAAAATCATGTGGAATTTCACATGGAAATTCGTCAATAAAAATGTGTGGAATTTTATTAGTGTAGTATGGTGTGTGTTGAGTAAATCAAGTTCCGGTGCGTTTTCCGTCGAAAATTATGAGTATCAATATGTCTGCTTAAAAAAGGACAAAATGTGTGGGATATTAACACCGGTGGAATCCAAACAGGCAGACAGGCGAGCGGACAGACAAGTGGAATACCAAACAAGAACGGATTGATTATTCAGACACGTACTAAAACGAAATCGAACACAGACCGATTGATAAACATGTTTATTGTAGCAACTTGTAACGTGGAATTAGGAAATGACAGGAAAGATATTTTTACTCTGCTGCGTAGTTGTTGACAGTAGCGCCGTGCGATAAATGTCGCCCCTCTTTATACACTGCCAACACTCCTCCTCGACATTTGAACTCTTCAATCAGGCTCGAACGTCAACGACGGTTAAGTTCATCGCTTCGGAAAATTTTCGCTGTTTCACCACTTTTAGCGGCTTCGTCAAAATATCTGCCACCATGCTTTCAGATGCACAGTGCTGCAGGATAACTTCACCTTTCTCCAACATGTCCTTGACGAAGTACATTCTGATGTCGATGTGCTTCGACCTTTTCGACATTTTGTCCAGCTCGACAAAATCTATGCAGCTCCTATTATCTTCCATCACAACCGTTGGTCCAGCTTGTTTCTCGGTAACGTCAGCCATGAGTCTTCTAAGCCACATCAACTCACGGCAAGCCTCTGATAGAGCAATGTATTCAGCTTCCATTGTTGAAAGCGAAACACTGCCCTAATAAAAATAACCATAAACGAACGATAACCCAAATCATTGAACTATTCCACAAATGGTTTGGATGATACCCAGAACACGTCGTTAAGCAAATTAACCATACAATTTTTATTAGGGTGAACTGCTTACGACTACACCAGGAAACACTTGCCTGTCCTAGCTGGAAGATGTACCCAGAGTTCGACTTGCGATCTGTTGTGTCGGAACTCCAGTCTGCGTCACAGAATCCAACAAGCCTCAGTGGCTCGTCTCGATTGGCTACAAGCTTCAGTCTGTAGTCTTTCGTCTTCTGTAGATATCGGACTACACGCTTCACCTCGACCCAATCAACTTCCGTTGGTTCACTAACTTGTCTGGCTAAAATTGCAACACTTGCTGCCACGTCTGGCCTTGTATTGACAGCTACGTAAAGCAGGGCACCAATGATGCTTCGATAGTCCTTGTTATCTGCTAGCTGCTTACTACCAGTACGGCTTCTGTAGTATCCAACATCAATCGGTATACTCGATACTTTCGCCTGATCTAAGCCAAACTGCTTCGCTAGCTTCGTAACGTACGCCTTCTGATCCATGCAGTAAAATCCGTCTTCATCCTTCGCAATTCGAATGCCCAAAAAATGAGTAACTTCTCCCAGCGACGACAGAGAGATCTTCCGCTTCAGATCCTTTTCAATTCTATCGATTTCGTCCGGATTCATGCTTGCAACTATCATATCATCGACATAAATTAACAGGTACACAAACCCACCACCTGATAGGCGTTTCACGTACAGTCAATGGTCCGAATTCGATTGCTTGAAATTCATCTCCTTTAATATTCCGTTTATAGTCGTGTTCCAAACTATGGCCGCCTGTTTAAGGCCATACAGGCTCCGCTTCAGTCTGCACACCAGCTTCTCAGTACCAGGCTTCACAAATCCAATCGGCTGTTGCATGTACAGTTCTTCCTGTAACTGACCGTGAAGGTACGCACATTTTACATCATGATGGCGTAAGGCCATCCTCTTGTATCCTGCAACAGTCAGCAGAACCCTTGACGTAACTTGCGTGGCAACTGGAGCAAATAAGGTGTCATAATCTACCCCGTACTGCTGTGAAAACCCACGCGCAACCAGACGAGCTTTGTATCTAGTCACATTACCGACATTGTCCAACTTCTTCTTGTAAACCCATTTGCAGCTAATCGGACTTCGACCGGCGGGTAGCTCCACCAGGCTCCATGTTTCATTTTTCAAAAGAGAATCGTATTCGTCCACCATTGCCGACTGCCACAAATCACGTTCAGCCCCACTTACTGCTTCCTCGTACGTCACTGGTTCCTCTCGAACGGCCATGGCAACATCAACGATATAATCTTCAAACCCTGCCTCTGATTCCCGCTATCCGGCTCATCCAGCTCGCTTCCGGACTCTGCATCTTCGTAACCACGGAAATCTTCAGATTCATCACTATCCTGATGATCCGATCCGGCATCAGACTCCTCCTGAACTCCAGCTTGACCAATGCTAAGATCCACTTCAATCAAATCATCAGGCTTCGGCTTAACAGTTCCTCGCATCAGAGAACCATCTCCCAACTCGATAAAACGAGCATCTCGGCTTATCGTTATCTGATCATTTTCTGGATCCAAAAATCTAAACGCCTTTCGATCATCGCAATAGCCAACAAAAACCAATTTTCGACCTTTGCTTTCAAACTTGGAACGCTTAGCATCCGGATCATGGACATATGCATTGCAGCCAAAGACATGCAAGTTCTCTAGTGATGGCTTCTTCCCAAACCATCTCCCATAAGGTGTCCCTTCCACACTCCGTGACGGTAACCTGTTCTACAGGTAAGCAGCTGTTGCGATAGCCTCACCCCAGTATCTTTTGTTGAGCTCTGCATCAATTCCCTAATAAAAATTGTATGGTTAATTTGCTTAACGACGTGTTCTGGGTATCATCCAAACCATTTGTGGAATAGTTCAATGATTTGGGTTATCGTTCGTTTATGGTTATTTTTTATTAGGGTTAGCATGCATGTTGCCATCTCCTGTAAAGTCCGGTTCTTCCGTTCGGCGACACCGTTCTGTTGCGGTGAATACGCGGCTGTCAACTGGGCTTTAATAGAGTCGGTGTATAATGAGTCACGCCAAGAGTGAAGCCAAGTCTACCCAATGAACTATCAAACCGGCTACCTATCGTGCAAAGTAAACAAACATTACGATGCTATGAAAGGTTCACGAAAGGTATTGCAATAAAATATCAAATATAATCGAAGAAATGATCATAAATACGCAGTGAGCAATAAATTGTCATGGGATACGTTTGGTAATGATCAGTAATGAAAATTTGTACTATTTTTTGTTAAGATAATTTGACAAAATCATTGATGATTTACTACAGCCGCTATTTTTTTTTCTCGCTAGAAGTCATTTGAAGTTGATGCAGAAGTCCTCTGTTGCCAAGTGAAAATAAAGGGAATCTTTCGAAAACCGTGATGCGAGTTCAACTGTTTTTCTCTTGGTGTGACTCATTATACACCGACTCTAGGCTTTAATACCTTCCAGCCCGTAGAACTCCTTTAACTCCTGATTCACGTATTCACCGCCGCCGTCCGACCGTATTGCACGTGGCGCCCTACCGAACCGTGTCTTTACGTACGCTACATACCGCTTTATGCAGCCAGCTACTTCCGACTTTCGCTTCAGCAGACACACTACAGTGTATCGGCTGTACTCGTTTATTAGGGTCATAAAATAGCGCGACCCCCCTGGTGTAACGTTGACCATTGGCCCACAAACGTCAGTGTGGACAACGTCAAGTACCTGCTCTGCACGATTTTGTGCCACTTTTGGAAAGGATGTTCTTGGTAACTTACCCTGAAGACAATGCTCAAAGATGAGTCTCAAACCGCAATCTCGCATCTTGAATCCATCGCACAGATTCTTACCCTTGATCTGTTCCAACACCGATGAATCGCGGTGCCCTAGCCGTCGATGCCAGGTATGTTGACAGTCCAGCAAATGTTGGGCTTCCTTGCCAACCTTCGCCTCCTCTGCAATCTTCAGCTGGTACAAGTTGCTGCGTAATTCCGCCATAGCACACACTTTCGCGACGAAAATGTCCTGGTTTCCGGCAATGAAAACAGATTTTCTCCTTTCGGCCAACACTTTGCAGCTTCATGGCTTTCTCACCACCATCAGACGAACGTTCCTTCCAACGCTGATGCTCATCCATCAGTTTCTGTTTGACGAGTTGAATCGTTTGATCAGCCTCCGGTCTGCTTTCCAATGCCGTTATCAGTCCCGTATACGATTCGGGAAGGCTCCGGTATATCATCGCCACCTTTAGCGAATTTTCCAGCTGCTGGCCTGCCACGGAGAGACTATCGAATAACTCCTCAATATCGTATAGATGCTTATCGATATCTCCTCCTTCAGCCATATTCAGGCTACAAATACGCCGCAGCAGTGACACTCGCGAGGTCATCGTCGTCTTTTCATGAAAACCTTCCAATTTGTTCCACGCGTCTCGTGCTGATGCGGCATTCCGAACAAGATTCAACTGATTGTCCTCCACGTACAGCACAATATTCGCCAGCGCCTTTTGATCCGACTTGATCCATCCAGCCGTCACCGGTTCTGGCTTCGGCTTATCAACTGCATCCCACAGTTCTTCTCGCTTTAATAGCATTTTCACTCGCGTTTTCCAAACGGGATAATTTTGGTTATTCAACCGAGCGAATAAGAATTTTTCTCCCATTTTCTATTTTGTTCGTCGAATGTCAACACACGAGCGAAAAAAAAAAACTGCACTAAACGGGAATCACTGGATCCGTTTGCTGTTGCATCAGCCAAACAATTGTACCTCCACCGCTCCGAAAAAAACTTAACCTCCTTTCACTCGCGGAAACTACACTTTGTCCTTTTCGTGGCCTGGGCCCATAACCTGTGGGATATTAACACCGGCGGAATCCAAACAGGCAGACAGGCGAGCGGACAGACAAGTGGAATACCAAAAAAGAACGGATTGATTATTCGGACACGTACTAAAACGAAATCTGCTGTGTAGTTGTTGACAGTAGCGCCGTGCGATAAATGTCGCCCCTCTTTATACACTGCCAACAAAATGAACATTTATTGAATATTAGCGTCCTATACAACCAATTCTCTATTACCATCAGCATGCACAGAAAAAAAAAGTTGTTGAATATTACATCCAAACTGCTGCAACCAGGTCAATCCATCGCTTGTGTAATATAACGTTGTTCGATGTACATCGATTTTGCGAACAAAATTACATCCATTGATGTAATATTGTATCTGCTTTTTGCTATTACATCATTATTTCATACATCAGCTTGAATTACATTGATCGATATTACATTTTTTTTTTTGCTGTGTGATACAACCTTTACTAAGTAAATTCACTTAATTTCCACTTTCATCTTAGTGAAAATCGCACAAATTCACCATTTTCCGAAAAATGCAGCTGCGCAGGAGGTAACCTCTCCCTGTGGGTGCAAACTTGTTATGCATAATATGCCATGAAAACATCTCCGATCCATACCGAAATAATAACAAATAGTCTTTAACTCTTCGACTACCACACTGAAAATGAAGTCGACACTTTTTTTCAAAATAATGTATCTCGGGTTCTACTAATCCTTTTTTAAATGTTTTTTTACCGTTTTAAAGGTTATTTTTTCAACTTTTTTGTGAACTAGCTGATAAGGCTACACGGTCATGTAAAACACCGCAAATTTCGGGTTAATTTCTGTCGAATTGGTAGACAAGCCGTTTCTGAAAGTTAAAATGAATTGATTTGGGGTTTCGTATTTTTGCCTGAAAGCTTATAAAATTATCTAATAGAATGTACTACTTACAAATTTTTAACTGTACTACTGACCGAGTTCTGGACTTTGAAAGATAACCGATGCAAACCTCAAAATGACATTTGTTTTCGTGAGATAATCATGGTTTTTTTTTCTTTGGATTTGTTTTACGTCGATCTTGTTTTCCGTGCTGAGCACCAATGCTACCGACGCCGCCAGGGAGGCAGCTCTCACACCTGGACCTTCCTTATCGACCCATCAACTCATGAACCGGGGACCAACGACATTACTTCCCGTGATCAGAAATGTTATGCCTCAGAACATCCCGGCAGCGCCGACTGGGATTGAACCCAGGCCTGCTGGGGTGAGAGGCAATCACGCTTACCACTGCACCACCGGCGCCGCTAGATAATCATGGTGAGCGACAAATTATCTCCCTACTGCTTGATAAAATATAGCTTTTGCATCACATTTGAAGTCAGTTTTCCACCAATTGACCACATTCATAATGTTTGAGGATGTTCTGGAAGAAAGTACGTGCCCTTACAGTGGGTTTAATAAGCAGATTGTTTTTATTTCAGTCAACCTACTTAGGTTGATTTTATTTCAATTAACTCTGAGTCACTATTACACATGACACTATCCTTCGTAAATTGAAGAAACTTTGTTGCTCATCGTCCAGCGAGCGCAGAATAGTGAGAGAAAATGGAGCCGCAAAGCAAGGCGAAAACCAATCTGTGTACATAATCAAGGCACCGTCGATTTTTTAAAAATAAATATGCAATCTGCAATATTATAACACATGAGATTGAACAAAAATATGTGTCTTACGTTATGGTTAACTTGCTGGAGATGATTGTCCCTTTAATAGTTCCATAGGCCATCCCGACCAACCATTTCGTTAATTTTCTTTAATTTTCTATACATCGATCTTCAAAGCCATTCATAATAAAAATCGATAGCGATCGTCACCATTTCATGAATAATTGTAAAGATGCTAAAAGTCTAATCGTGAATCGTTTATAAAGATCTTTCTCAAAATATTGCTACCAATCGTTACCAATGTTAAAATATCGATTGTGTTGCCAGATCAAAATATCGATTTCTGTTGTAAAATCAAAATATCGATACACAACTGCTGATTTTATTTGTGGTTTTTTTAACTGCATAATTTCTAGTTTCGATCCCATGCCATATGGGGTGTACTGCTTTCGTTGTTGGTTGCTAATCCTTGGGTCCACGGCTGCTGCTGATGAGCTTATCAACGACAGGCAAACACACTCTAGTATGTGATGTATTGGAATTTCTGTAAATCTTTTCATACATGAACTCAATATTTATTTGTCATAACCATCAACCAGTCAGCCATATAGGTGTAATAGAGGTCAAAAAGGTATCAATTTTCCTCATTGGGTTCCAAATGCCGAGAATCCCACCACGCATGCTATCACGGGTTATTAAATATATATATAGACATAAACTTGAAGAACTACAATGATAAACATTTGCTGCATCGTGGCTATCGGTCTTCTCGTTCATTTACCGGTAGATTGCTTCTTCCGATGAAATGCCGAATATGTCGATAAATAATATAAACATTGCCATCTGTCACCTGGTGTGTCTCGAACTCTCTTTAATCAGCGATGCAAATCGATAACAAGGAGATTATAAATGTGCATCGATGGCAATCTTTGTTGTTCTTTGTCAAAGTTCAAAGTTATGATGACATCAGTATTTAAATATTTATTGATGAATATTTCTAAAGAATACTAAAGTCTATGTGACATATCGAAATTAAAAGAAATTTAGTATGGCACCTTTATAGATTACTATCATATGACCGATGAAGAAATAATCTTAAATGTAAGTATCGATCAATAAAGATTTTTAAATGTTTACATCGAAATCATAGAAAATTTAAAGTAAAGAATTGCCGGCATAAACCTTTATTTCTATATTAAGAACTTTGAAGAAGTTTCACGAACGGTTGGTCGGGATCTTCTGCTCGATCAGTTACCCAAAAAAAAGTAAACATGGAGCTTCCTATTCGATATTTTTATTGGCTTCTTGGTAAAAATACTGTGGAATTAAGCCATCATTTCTAAATTATTTAAAAATCATCGAACATTATTATGGTTTAAATTATCGAATTTATTGCGTGAGTGCGCGTGTGAGTGAATTCCAAAAAATGCCGACTTAATTTCTGGTTAGTGGCTCGGAAGTATATACAATATTTTGGTGCCCGTTCTCAAAGTCCTCTCATCCACAACATTTTTACTCTAATTTGGGAGGGTGCTGCATGAAAATTATATTTGCTTAGAATATTTTTAAAGGAGACAGAAAAATGTATTGTTAGTCAAACTTTTTCCTGCAAAAGTGCCCATGCAAGCCGTCCATATTGTAACTTTGTAAGTAATTAAATTGACTTCCCAGAAAATAAAATCTTAAAATACAATTCAAAAATGGGGTTCATTTGGAAAAATAAAGTTTTTTATGTTTTTCGGTGAAGAAAACATTTTTTCTTTAATTCAGACAATTTTTCATGAGTTACGCTTTTACCAAACTGTTGTAGAAGCTGGTTTGGAAGTCAAATGTTTAATTTTATTTTTTTATGCCCCAATAGTTTAAACTATTAAAAGATAAATAACTCCTAACCCCTAGCCTACCCCAATTTTTATTTCATTCATTCAGACCAATTGATTTGTGGCTTTTGTTTAGTTTGTTTAAATTTTTATTTATCATTCAGTCCTGATAAAAACAAATAATAATGCACCAAATACATTTCCGTTCAAGCCACATAGCAATTTTTACAAAAATATTGCACTTCTGTTTTCCTGTGGATTGAACAAATACATAAGCTACAATTCACACATGTTACTGTACTTCGTTTTCCGCACTCGCAAACAGTCTTCCTAGATTTTTTGGCGTGTGTTCTACGATCTGATGAGCAGTCTTTTATACAGCTGATTATTTTCTTTTCCCATCGATGTTTTTGGCAATAATACTGTTTGCACGTTTCACATGAGAGGGTTGTAGATTTGCGACGATTGCTACATATTGCACAAGAAATACGATTTTCAGGAGGGTTTGCAGAACTCTGAGCGTCATTTTCAGCATTTTGTGAGTATCCTGGCAGATTTCGTCGTACTTCATCGATGTGCTGCAATAACATGTGCATGTCATCTTGACATTCAAGTGGTATTCCACCAGCAACAGATTTTTCGAATCTCTGAGTAACGAAATCTTCTACCATAAAATAAGATGCATATTTTATAAATAGCGTTCGTCTGCCAGAATTATTTTTGTTCCAGTCAGGATATTTGGTAATGAAAATAATGTACGAATTATACAGAGCAATATCAAGAATATCCCAAAATAATCGCACAGGCCAACGATACGTGATTCTGGCACATGACGTGTCTCTTGTGACCTGATCTAAAGTATCAACTCCTGCTTTTGAAGCATTGTAATGCAATACAATATTTGGTTTATGTTTTTCAGAGAAAGATATGCCTCGAATATGAGGATTACTGGACAGCACAAGAACAGCTTTGTGCTTTTTGGGTACGTATGAGGTTAATGTTAACCGTTTTTTGTGCCCAATTAAAGATGAATGCTCTTTGCGAGATTTTGAAGGCAAAAATGCTAACGGGATTTCTCTTTTATTTTTACGCAGAGTTCCTGTCAAGTAAGTTTTCCTCTCAAGTAGTTTTTCTGCCAAATCTACTGAGGAAAAAAAGTTGTCAACTACTACTTCTCTTCCCTGATCCAGAAAAGGTTGTACCAAGTCCATAACAATTCGACGACCTTGGTTCTCTTCTCGTATTTTAGGTTTTTTTAGAACTTTGACGGTTTTCTTTGATCGGATACACTTTTTCTTCAATTTGGTTGTGCTTCCTACTTCACTCGGCAACTGTTTACTGCTTCCTTGAGTTGTCTTTGACAATAAATGTGACCCTATAACAAGACCAGAAAGTTTCAATATATGTTACAAAAGTAGGAACACCTATTACCTGGGAAGTAAACTTGTAGATTGCAGGCGTAGGCATTTTCTGAATCTGCTGCAACCCATACTTTCAATCCATGCCGACCAGGTTTGTTTTTCATGTAAACTCCAAATTTACATCCTCCTTTGAATGGAACTAGCCTTTCATCGATTGTGATGATTTGGGATGGATTGTAGCTTTTTATACAATTGCTGACAAACTCATCATAAACCAACCGAATCGCCGCTAGCTGATCATTATTTTTGAGCAATAAACTACGATCAGTGCGACAATCAAATCGCAGATGTCTCATAATGGCTTGAAACCTACTTCTGGACATAACTGTCGGAAAAAATGCTTGGCGGAGAAAATATTCAGTAGTCCAAAGCGTTTTTATTGGTGTTTTTCGTTGTTTCTGTACACCAGCTATCATCAATAATCCAAAAAATGCCCAGACCTCTTTTTCCGTTAATTCCTTCCAGTCTTTCTCTTTGGGATCGTCGCGTCCATGTTCATTCGTATAGCGAATAATTTTTTGAATTATTCCATCAGAAATAAATAATTTAAAACAATCCATGATAGATGTAACATGCTGACTATAAGCACTCAATCCTTTATTGGGAGGTCGAACACGAAATATTTCAGAGGATGCTGGTGTTTTCGTCCATATGAATCCTGTCCAACAACATTTGATAAACTTTTTCTCAATTCATTCGATTTGCGATGACGTAGCCTTAAAACTTACCTGTTTTTGATTCGTACCACGCTTGTGAATGGCTCAGTGCTATATCCTCCAACTCTTCTTCCGCGCTAACAATGTCATTTTCTTTTGGATCCTCTTGTTCTTCCTCCCATACACTATCCACGTCAGATAAATCGATATCGGAATTGATGCCGATTTCAAAATCTTCCTCAGCTGCAGTGTCTGAATCCATTGTGAAAAAATGAATGAAGCACTTGCTAGGTCGGCAACGTCTTGTTTGAACAAGTTCGAAATGCGTACTAATTTCTTGTGCAGCGTGCTTACACATATAATAAACCATAGCTACTGTATACTGTATCCCCCCGAAGGACGCGGTAGGAACAAAATTGCACCCACCGCTTTCATTCAGTTGTTTTGTAACCAACCGATCTGATTTTTTTTGTATGTGATCAGTGCCCACCCTAGACTAATCACATACAAAAAATCAGATCGGTTGGTTACAAAACAACTGAATGAAAGCGGTGGGTGCAACTTTGTTCCTACCGCGTTCTTCGGGGGAAGGCAGTACCCCGAAGAACGCGTTAGGAACAAAGTTGCACCCACTGCTATGCATGCATAGGGGACAACAGCCCAAAATGCACCCCGGGGCAAAACGCCCGATTTGATTTTTCATAGCTATTCCACTCTTAATTCTGGGATTTTTTGTGCCGAAATGCTAGTTTAAGTACTAAACTAGCCTTGTGGCTTGTCAAATTAATGAATTAAAACGGGAATACCATGAAAAATCGCATCGGGCGTTTTGCCCCGGGGTGCATTTTGGACTGTTGTCCCCTACATATTGCGTCTTACGAATAACGTAGAGCGAGGAAAGGGGGTTTTCAAGGACACCTTTCTATTAAGGTGATTTGTTGTGAGATCCTTTTTTTTTGTAACCACTTCGAAACTTTAAGTGCACAAATATCAGCTTCCACGACACGTACTACAATGAAACTGTTACTTCTCGTTTCTTGCACTGCAGCATACACGAAGTAGTAATTTCAGGTGAAATGAGGCATTAATTTCCGAGATTTGTGAACGTGAAAATTTTTAGTGGAATTGCTTGTAAAGCCTACGTGGCGGCCATTTGTGGACTCTACAAGGAATCGCCTTAAATAATTTGCTGTTTTCTTCTTTGTTCTGAAATTGCATGTAAAAACTCCTCGTTGATAAACCTTTTTGGTTGCGCTGTATGGGTAGGAATGCATATATGTAGAGACATTTTTTTTAATAAGTAAAGCAAACCCCACACGCATCAATATATTGACGCGAAGGGGAATTATTGACTATAATATTGATGATGTGAATTCAGAAATATTGTCAATCTCGATATATTGACGTCAATATAGCATGTATTGACAATACGATTATTGTCAATAAAAGCAATCGTGTAGGGTTCACTTAAGGAAGAGCACTGCTTAAGCGAACCCCACACGGTAATAAATATTGTCAATACTTCTAAGTATTGACAATATTATTGATGATGTGAATACATAAATATTGTCAATATCGATATATTCACGTCAATATAATATGTATTGACAATATGATTATTGTCAATAAAAACTGTCGTGTGGGGTGCACTTTAGGCATAGGACCCATTTGCGTCGTTCACCGCTACCTCTCGACTGTTCCTCAACCAGTTGAGCTAATTTCTTGAACGTGATGTTCAACATAATCTAGTTATACTTAAACGGAAAATCAGCTCAACGAGTTGAGGGACATCCGAGACACGGCGGGGGCGACGAAAATGGGTCCTGTGCGGAAGTAGTGCTCTTCCCTATGTAATCTGCGACATGTTAATGCATTACCAGATTGATCAAAATTATATCTTATAGTCTACATTATTTATATTTCATCGGGTTTGTGCGAAACATGCATCGCACGACATGTCCAACTTTAAAAGATAAATATTCCTTTGAAAGTCCCATGGATCATACTCCTACGGCTAGTACTTGGTCAGTAGTTCAAATAGAAAAATGACTATAGTGCAATCTATTAGATAATTTTGTAGGCTACCAGGAAAAATTGCGATGGGATAAATCAATCACTTCTAACTTGTTGAAACGGCTTGTCTACCGATTCGACAGAAATTAATCCGGAATTTACGATGTGGCCACGGAACTATATGACATAATCGATTATAACATAATAAAGGCAAACTAATACCCTTTCAAAAAAAACCAAAACATCGAAAATCGGTTAAAAAATGACGGAAATATTGCAAAAACAGTGAGCGACCTCCAAAAAATGTCGACTTCATTTTAGGTTTGGGGCTCCGAGGTATATAAAATGGTTCAGTGCCCGAAGAGTTAAACACGTTTTCTGACACGATTCAAGCAAAAGTTTCCACGGGAAATTATTAGTTTTTCTTTATGGACCAATTTGCCCTAAAAAGCGTCTGTTTTACTTGGAAAATTTGGAAACTATCCTCCTTCTAGTAGTTCTCACTTCGAAATGTAGGTGACGAAAGCTTGGAAAAGTTTCATTGCAAGACGCCAATAGAGGTGATTATAAATAAAAACTACAATATTTCTTCTTTCTTATATCTATATATTTTTTTTATTATTACACATACTGTTTGATATTGGTGCCAAGCACGAACTACAGTTCGTTAACAAAACAAAACTGTTGATAGTGAAGCTGTTAGATTTTTTATCTTGACATGTCAGTTTATTAATTAGAACTACTAGGTAATCCAGTAATAATCGCCGGAATGCACGATTTATCCGGCAACATACCGGCCTCGATAAGAAAACCTTCCACTTCAGAGCTGCTGAATTCATCACTCAGATCATCGGTAACTCTAACAAAATTACCAATCATTTGCCCTGCTTTGTACACCAGCAGCGCAGGAACTCCGTAAGATTTAAAAAACATGCTTAGTCCTGCTGCTGTGCTTATAAATTTACAAAATTTAACATTCTTGTATTCTGGAGCAAGTTCGCTGAGGGCTTTATTCATGTTTTTACATGCTGTATCATAACGGTCGTAGATATGAATAACAATTGTCACTGTTTTTTGCTCCTCATCAACCGATTGGAGAAAGTCATCCCCATTTGGAATGTCCACAAGAGTGCCGAAAGTTGGCAGCTTTCCAGCCACAGAAAGCATCTCTGCCATACGCTTCTTTTGGTATTGTAGAAGAAAATCATCACTCATTAACTCCGCTAATTCTTCATCAAATTGTTCCTGTTCTTTAGCCTTAGAATCTTCCGCAGTTGAACGAGCTGAGATACTCAGCTTTTTGATAAGCACCATTTTTTCTCGTTCTTCACTCTCTCGTTTTTCGGTCTCTAGCTGCTTGAACCGTTGCCAATCTTTGATTACTCCTTTTGGACCAGTATTTGTGGTACTTCCAGTCCAGTGAGATTGTCCCATGATTTTGTTTTCTGGTATAATTTTCAAGGACTCGGATTTGCCTTTATTATTCGATCCGGGATGTTCATCGTCACTTTCCCCTTCGCTGCTGCTATAATAATACTGTAGTTTTTCGCCTAGAATTTTGTCTTCCAGCGTAGCCATCTTGATATCGTTGCTTAAATGACAACTAATTTATTAAATTACACCAAGAACCAATCCAATAGTAATTGTAATTTATTCTGTTTACGATACCCTGTTGGTTGTACCCTTTGTCAGGTCCAATCAACACCCAGAAAATCAATCTATAAATTCTCGCGTCTTTTTTCAGATAGACCAATATAACATATTCGCCATAATCTAGAGAATATCGAAGTTGAAGTTCGATAGATTGTTATTTTAACTGTTTAGAAACAATACATTTTGCAATACTAGTTTTACTGTATAGAGCTTTTTGACGTTTAATCGGCGCACACTAATGCACCATTTCAAATGAAGGAGTGCGAGCAAGAAGGAAACAAATTAGTGGGAAAACAAATCATCCATTTGTTCCTGTGTGCTAGATAGAGAAAGACGATTGAACGTCAAAAAGGTCTATATCAATCAATGAATACAGAGAGAGGTGAAGCAGATCGTGAAATATGGTTGTTTAGTAAACCAAAAAATCAACGTAAACGCAAGTAGTGACGTCACTAATTGCTTGGATCGTACCAATGACATTTATATAAGGTCTAAGCCAACAGGCAGCTTGCTGGTGTTAGAAGCAAAAATGTTGTAAACATTGCTGAACATCTGCGAATAGATAGAACTACGTCACTGCCAACATACTGAGAACAGATAGAAATACGTCACTGCCAACAGCTGTTTCGTGTAAAAAGATAAACATTTCAATTAAATACGAACACCACTAAACATTTGCACATTTCAGTGCTAACATTTGAAAACGGCACAAAAGCCAATTTTAAACAAATGGTTTGTGGGCCCTTTACTCACTACTTGAAGTACACCCACGCGACACAACAGCAACATCGGGTAGGGGAAATTTTCCCCTTCCTGACGATGCTGTTGGTTTGCGTGGGCGTTCTTCGGGTAGCGAGTAAAGGGCCCACAAACCATTTGTTTACAAATGGCTTTTGCGCCGTTTTCAAATGTTAGCACTGATTTAACTAACACCAATAAGCCCTTTGGCCCAGACCTTATATAAACGTCATTGGGATCGTACAGGGGTTTTACTCAACACTTAAACGATTCCCGACCAACCGTTCGTGAAACTTCTTCAAAGTGCTTTATACAGAAATAAAGATTTATGTCGGCAATCCTTTACTTTAAATTTTCTATGATTTCGATGTACACATTTAAAAATCTTTATTGCTCGATACTTACATTTAAGATTATTTCTTCATCGGTCATATGATAGTAATCTATAAAGGTGCCATACTAAATTTCTTTTAATTTCGATATCTCACATGGACTTTAGTATTCTTTACAAATATTCATCAAGAAATATTTAAATACTGATATCATCGTAACTTTGAACTTTGACAAAGAACAACAAAGATTGCCATCGATGCACATTTATAATCTCCTTGTTATCGATTTGCATCGCTGGTTAAAGAGAGTTCGAGAGTTCGAGACACACCAGGTGACAGATAACAATGTTTATATTATTTATCGACATATTCGGCATTTCATCGGAAGAAGCAATCTGCTGGTAAATGAACGAGAAGACCGATGGCCGTGACGCAGCAAATGTTTACCATTGTAGTTCTTCACGTTTTATATTTAATAACCCGTGAGAGCATGCGTGGTGGGATTCTCGGCATTTGGAACCCAATGAGGAAAATTAATACCTTTTTGAACTCTATTACACCTACATGGCTGACTGGTTGATGGTTATGACAAAACAATATTGAATTCATGTATGAAAAGATTTACAGAAATTTCAATACACCACATACTAGAGTGTGTTTGCCTGTCGTTGATAAGCTCATCAACAGCAGCCGTGGACCCGAGGATTAGCAACCAACAACGAAATCAGTAAACCCCAGATGGCCTGGGATCGAAACTAGAAATTATGCAGATAAAAAATCACAAATAAAATCAGCAGTTGTGTATCGATATTTTGATTTTACAACAGAAATCGATATTTTGATCTGGCAACACAATCGATATTTTAACATTGGTAACGATTGGTAGCAATATTTTGAGACAGATCTTTATAAACGATTCACGATTAGACTTTTAGCATCTTTACAATTATTCATGAAATGGTGACGATCGCTATCGATTTTTCTTATGAATGGCTTTGAAGATCGATGTATAGAAAATTAAAGAAAATTAACAAAATGGTTGGTCGGGTTGCTTCACCTCGGTAATCCAGCTCATTGTATATCAAGAGCAAATTTTCATTATGTCGTAAGTAACATTCGCACCAATCCGAGAAAAATAAAGTTTTGTTTTGATGACCGAAAAGTTATTCCTATTTCCAAGTAAACACATATAATCTCATAGTGATAGCAATGTTTAGCATATTTAACAGGGTTTTAATCAAACAAATGCAAATCGCTAGCTTTCATGCTAAAAATACTGATTTTTGAGTCAAAAGTTTTTTTTGGCAGGCTCAAATGTTATAAAAATAACCCAATTTCTATGGATATGCCGTTTGACTTAAGTAACAGCGCTGAGAAACCCGTGAAAAGTGTACGTTCGTGAGTGATTAACTGTGATTACTGTGAGTGAGTGTGAGTGATTACTTAAGTGACTTAAGTAACATCGAAAACTATTTTGATCGGAAGGTGATTACGTCAAAAAGCAATTTGACTGGTAAATAAATTTAAAAATGGGATTTGATCCTATATTCGGACAGTATATTATACTGTCCGAATATAGGATCAAATCCCATTTTTAAATTTATTTACCAGTCAAATTGCTTTTTGACGTAATCACTTTCCGATCAAAATAGTTTTTGATGTTACTTAAGTCACCCAATTTCTATGGATATGCCGTTTGACTTAAGTAACAGCGCTGAGAAACCCGTGAAAAGTGTACGTTCGTCGTTTCGTTTTCTCATTATTAAAGTGAATAAATCGAACTGTTTGTTGCTAAGATGATTTCGGTGGTCCTAAAATGATGAATGGGCTGCACGTAAGGAGACGTAATTGATAATTCTCCCGAATATCCTGGTAAATACACTTTGACTTAAGTAACAATAGGGGCCACCAAACGACGTATAATAACTTTTGACTCAAAAACCAGTATTTCTTGGCATGAAAGCTAGCGATTTGCCTTTGTATGATTAAAACCCGGCGGAATAACTTTTCGGTCATCAAAACAAAACTTTATTTTTCTCGGATCGGTGCGAATGTTACTTACGACATAATGAAAATTTGCTCTTGATATATGACGTTTGTGTTTGACGACGCGAATATAAAGCCCTATCACCACACGGTAATTCTAGAATACTCCTTTTATGACTATGTTTTACACATTTTCGAGAATAAAGTTTATACGTCAAAAAATGTTTAGATTTTAGTTACAAATAAGAGTACTTTTTATGCATTTTCGAGTACGTCAACGACGAACAAAAATGTGTAAAAAGTAGTCCCCGCTGAGAAAAGAAAATTCATGCCGCGACGTGCCGCCATTTTCAAAACAGCGTTCATTGGAAAATCAGCGTTTTAATTCAGTTCCCGGTCCCGGATTATTTTTGTAAAAGTGTCAGCGGTGCGTCAGCGGAAAATGGAGGAATTGTCCAAAGCTTTGGAACAGGACGTATTCACGACACTGGCAGGTAATTAACGCATTTACTTTTATTGTCAACCAAATTAAAAAAGGACATCGAGTAACCATTACGTGTTAAATGAAATTTTCATCTAAATGTAGATCATGTCCACGGATGCCTTTGAATCATGGGACAACTGTCCAGAAAAGGCGTTAAAAAACCACCAAACGTGATGCCATTGGGAGTCGAGGAGGAGTTGGCAGCACCGCTGATTCGATGGATTGGTGTAAGTGTTTTTAATATTTTGCTATTTTGAAAAATTAATATCGTTACCTTTTTATCAATAGGAATCCCTTTAGGCGTACGCAGTTCTGCATAATGCGCCGGTGCGTCCCCACATTGTTAACCAGGGAAACGTCTACATGATGTTCATTGAGGGCCATATTTTTTCCTTGGGTACTAGATCAGTCCAAGCAGTAGAAACATTTGTAAAAAATTTCATTGTATTTAACTACAAGGTACCAGCTACATTGATAAAGCTGACTGAATTAGTTAAAATACTTAGCTATAAAGTAAAAATGAGCAGTTCACGACTCTCAGTTAACAAACTTTGTAATAAAATGCGTGAGACGATTAATGCGAATAAAATCTAGCAAGGATTTATTCCATTTAATTAAATAAATAAATAAATTAATATTACCGTTGAAATTCTTGTGCATTTTTATTAAATATTTAAAACCAACTTGAGATACAAAATTTGTTTTATTGAAGGTATTACTTCAGACAAACAGACGTAACTCTTTATTGTGTATCTTCGTTCATGCATTTAACGGTTGATTTGAATATTATCAGTTCCGCGAACTACTCGCCGCAGCGCTGGCATCGGATCATTTTGACGTTTCTATATATTCTATAGAACTTTTATGCTATATTGTTTACGAGTTAGCGAGCAAGCTTGTTTTCCCCGAGAAGCCAGATAGATGTCGTTACTGAGGTTATATGTTTTGAGATACTATGTTTTCAAGAACAAGTTTTTCAAAGAGTTACGTCTGTTTGTCTGTGGTATTACCATAGAGGTAACTCTAAGACTAGAAGGTCCCGAAATAACGTGCTCAACTTTTGACGTTGGATAACGTCTTTCGGCAACATACGGGGGTACAAAATTGAAAACAGTCATTTTGGATGAGTTACGAAAAATTAAAAGATTTTGAACGATAATAACTCAACCGTCTCTCGATAGATTTACGAGATAATGGCATCAAACGATTGGAAATATTTCTAGCAATTTGCTGAATGTTTCAAAACTATTGATTTCATTCTGTTGATTGATTGATTGATTGATTGAAAAATGGTTAAAAGTAAACCATTGTCTAAAGATGGTGAAAATCGATTGATTTTTTTATATTCTTATACTTTCTCCAACCGAGACATCAGATGCGAGTATCTGACACCTCTGATATTTTCTGTTCTACTATATAAGCGTCCAACAAGGTCACCCGTTCCATCATTGTCTATCCGATCGTCGACCCAACAGCAGAGCAGCAGAGCAGCAGTACCAGAGCAGCGGAAGTAGAGCAATGGCAGCAGAGCCTGGGGGCGAAAGGGCAACTACGCCTGCGTTGGTGCCAGTGCTCCGGGATACTGGGCTGCCGTCATGGAATACCCAGCTGCTGCAGTTCTCAGTCGGTCGTATACGGTGCTCCGCAAGGGCAACTACGCCGAGCGCGTTGGAAAAAAGGCCCTTTTCAGGGCCACAACATTATCAAGAAAGAGTTTAACGATTAATTTTCTAATGCCTTTCCGACACTTTTTTCATGACTTTCATCGGCCTCCTGATATTCATGTGATTTTGTGGTGGGATTTTTAGCTATGTGAAATTCACATGGTTTTCATCCATTAGATACCTATGTGGTAAATTTTTTGAGTGTATGCTTCGGCAATCAAAATAAAGTTTGCACGATGGAAGCGCACATCGTAAATTTCGTTCATTTTAGTAATAATTAAATTGCCCCTCTCCCCCTACCCTCTGGCAGTACATGAAAAGCTTTTTTGTGAGGGGAATTTTTCAAAAGGATGCCGATTAAAATAATGGGTACCATTTTCTGAGGATGAGATGAGGACGATTCGTCATCCATATGAAGCGTGTCACGATCATTCCCTAGGATTCGTGGTTAACGCGTCTTATTTCTCTGTTAATACCGGTTAAACCTAATAAGAGGATTGTGATCGATTGGTTCCTCTCAAAATATCTGTTTGGATATCATCCGAAGTTTCGGTCGCATATATTGTGCCTTTTTGAAGGAATCTGTTGGACTCTATATGTTGGTAGAATATTCTACTTTAGTAGTTTGTGTTCACCTACTAACCAGGCTCGGTTTTATTGTTCTATGAGCCCACAGTATAGGCGTAATAATAATCTAGAAGTATCGCTTCAATACGATTAACCGGTTGGCAAGCAAAGAAGACCGGAAGTCCCAACGGTAACGGTAAATGTTGAGCAATGAAGGAACAATACAGTTCAGAATCAGCGGTCCGAGGAAAACCTCTTTTGAAGTTACTAGTCAAATCACTCAATTTATTGAAGGCAAGCAGTTCACGTCCAAAGCGGAGAGTAAGGTACATTTACCGGGATCCAGTAAACCGATGTCACGTAGGTAGTTAATTCACTTCCAGAGGTACTAATACCTTATCAGAAATCACACCACACTTCAAATTGGACGCACACCACGATCATTTCTGAAATCTCAACCGTTATTTGCTAATGAATTTCATTCCGCTGCATCAATGTAGGCCATAAGTCCAGGGCCACCGCAGCTCTGAAAGGTAGGGGAAATGGATCTAAGATTGGGCCCATCGCTAAAAATCTGCTATTTACCAATCTTATCTATATGAACACGTCGTTGGGACGGTACTGATGGATATTTTAGGGCGCTATTGAAAATTTAGTCGATAGTTTAATTTTAGATATGGATGGAATGATAACACTGCACTGGTTAATTTCTTGGAATTCAAGACACGCCTACACTAATCAACCATCATCGAACCTACTCGATGAGGATATCAATTAACTAGGGAGAGCATGACAGAAAGATTTAACCATGTTTTTAATGGATTCATTTTATCACTCCTTGCGCACCACGAAGGAAACTGTTGGAAAACGAAACTCTTTACCATCAAATTAGTCGTCCTGAAAAGGACGGATTTTGTTAAAGGGTGGGAACTTCGATCGAATTTAGGCCTTCTTTTCGGTCTTCTTGGGCAACAGAACGGCCTGGATGTTTGGCAGGACACCACCCTGAGCGATGGTCACTCCGGAAAGAAGTTTGTTCAGCTCTTCGTCGTTGCGGATGGCCAACTGCAGGTGACGTGGGATAATTCAGGTTTTCTTGTTGTCACGAGTGGCATTTCCTGCCAACTCGAGAACTTCAGCGGCCAGATACTCCATCACGGCAGCCAGGTAGACGGGAGCACCGGCTCCAACACGCTCGTCATAGTTGCCCTTTCGGAGTAGACGGTGAATACGACCGACTGGAAACTGCAATCCAGCGCGGCTCGAACGGGACTTTGCCTTTCCCTTGACTTTGCCTCCTTTTCCACGTCCAGATATGATGCAACGAACGACACGAACAGTTCGATGCTGAAACTGTAATGATGACATTTCGACCGTCGAGGGTGGTTTTATACCTGCGTCGAGTAGCATATTATGAATACAGGGACGGTACAATAAATACTGTGGGTAGCAAAATACTGAAAATGGGATGAGTGTCGGTTGTCTCTACGGGCATGAAACGAGACAGCGTTGCCAGTATTCCTGATTTATTTGATTTTCCAGATTTTCAATCGTCTTGCCAGATACTTACCCAGATATAATTCACTTATATGTTATTACGTTTATTTCAAGAATTTTTAATTATGTTCCGGATTTTCCCAGATTTTTTAAATATGTTGCTTTAGAGAATTTCCAGCCCAAAACGAAAACCGGTTGGACATGAGCGTTTCCGAATTCAGTCCAATAGAGGCGATGGGGGCAAGAAGACCATACGGGGCGAGATGGATCACCGTTCGTTTGGGCATAATACCTATTAACTCAATCTATTTTTTTACAAACTTGTTGAAAATGCTTCTAATATGCATCTCCATGAAAACCGTATCAAAATTCAATTACATGTCTAAGATAATAATGGAAATGTAACATTAGCTCAAAATCTCTAGAATATTATAAGATATGCAGTCAAGAAAACAAGCATCGCATTCACTATATTACATTTTATTGATCCGCTGGTTCTACAGCGAGCAATACACGTAACTGTTGCTAAAAGAACTTATGTTTCTATTTCACTTGATTCCTGCATGTTATTTTCTAGTGAAAACCTGTCAAAACCTTAATTTTTACTAGGGTGCTCATATTGCCCCGTATGGTTGTTGATCGGAGCAAAAACTGAAATTTTTCAAACATAATCATTTATTCAGTCTATCATTCCAAAACCACAACCAAAACGGCCCTTTTCAGGGCCACCAATAATTCGACAAAGAGTTAGTTTTGAAGACAATTTCTATCCATAATATAACAGTTACACTTAAATTTGGGGACTATACTGGGGTGTGGGAACGCTGGAAGGGGAGATGCTGTCTGTATTCGAACTACCAACAGCATTCCAAAGCCCCTCCAGGGCGGCAGAGTAGAGCAAACCCAACAACATCAGCCCAACAAAACGGCCCTTTTCAGGGCCACCAAACTTTCGCAAAAGAATTATTAAGGAATATTCCTAAAATATAATATACACAATTAAATACAACACATAACAGACGTTATCCAACGCCAACCCTGCGGTCGTATCTAGTATACAACCCTTCCAACTTTTTGGCTCAGCTCTGGTACTCTCTTCGGTCCCAAGCTAATCGATTCACCCCTCGAAACATAGGGAAAACCAATAACCCCTCATTTTATCTGTCAAACTTTCATAGCGAATCAAAACAAACATTGCGTAGTACTAGAATTTCGACTAGAATAGGGTACGTTAATCGTTTGCTTGGGACAAATAGGCTACTAAAGTGGTGAGCCAATTTAAAATCGTTAGTTTCGTATTGATTGTTGGTATTACTATGCATTAAACAATGCATGTGGGAGTATAAATTACGCATTTATACTTTGTTCGGGGTGTCAAAACTACGCATTTTTAAGTTTACTATGTCCCGACCAACCATTTTGTTAATTTTCTTTAATTTTCTATACATCGATCTTCAAAGCCATTCATAAGAAAAATCGATAGCGATCGTCACCATTTCATGAATAATTGTAAAGATGCTAAAAGTCTAATCGTGAATCGTTTATAAAGATCTGTCTCAAAATATTGCTACCAATCGTTACCAATGTTAAAATATCGATTGTGTTGCCAGATCAAAATATCGATTTCTGTTGTAAAATCAAAATATCGATACACAACTGCTGATTTTATTTGTGATTTTTTATCTGCATAATTTCTAGTTTCGATCCCAGGCCATCTGGGGTTTACTGATTTCGTTGTTGGTTGCTAATCCTCGGGTCCACGGCTGCTGTTGATGAGCTTATCAACGACAGGCAAACACACTCTAGTATGTGGTGTATTGAAATTTCTGTAAATCTTTTCATACATGAATTCAATATTGTTTTGTCATAACCATCAACCAGTCAGCCATGTAGGTGTAATAGAGTTCAAAAAGGTATTAATTTTCCTCATTGGGTTCCAAATGCCGAGAATCCCACCACGCATGCTCTCACGGGTTATTAAATATAAAACGTGAAGAACTACAATGGTAAACATTTGCTGCGTCACGGCCATCGGTCTTCTCGTTCATTTACCAGCAGATTGCTTCTTCCGATGAAATGCCGAATATGTCGATAAATAATATAAACATTGCTATCTGTCACCTGGTGTGTCTCGAACGCTCGAACTCTCTTTAACCAGCGATGCAAATCGATAACAAGGAGATTATAAATGTGCATCGATGGCAATCTTTGTTGTTCTTTGTCAAAGTTCAAAGTTACGATGATATCAGTATTTAAATATTTCTTGATGAATATTTGTAAAGAATACTAAAGTCCATGTGAGATATCGAAATTAAAAGAAATTTAGTATGGCACCTTTATAGATTACTATCATATGACCGATGAAGAAATAATCTTAAATGTAAGTATCGAGCAATAAAGATTTTTAAATGTGTACATCGAAATCATAGAAAATTTAAAGTAAAGGATTGCCGACATAAATCTTTATTTCTGTATAAAGCACTTTGAAGAAGTTTCACGAACGGTTGGTCGGGGTGGTGTAAAAACTATGCAGATTCTGACGTACATTCAATTTACGCAAAAGAGAGTAAAAACAGTATACTCCTTTATTGGGTAGTCCCATTTTCCAAAGAAAGAGCGTACTTTATAGTCATAAGAGAGTTTGTTTTGATTACCGTGCACAGGAGTGGAACTTCGGATCAGAAAGTGGCACCACTTGTAATTTGCGAGCACTAGCGAACCTAGCGGTAGAAGGCATCTTCTGCCTGCAGTTAAGATAGGCAGCATGCTATGATAGTGTGAGTGCACATAGAAAGCCCGTGTGGAACGCTACCACAACACATAGCTTGTTGAGCAGAAAAACGAACCATTTTTGATTCACCGATTTGTTTGCACTTCCCCTTCTGTTCTGTGCTATCACGCTAACTTGAATGTGCTCATTAAATGCGTAAATTTGACTCATTTTATGCTATTATTCTAAACTGTCAAAAAAACTGGGTATTTTCAAGAAATGAAAAGCGGCCCGCATAAACGTGAACCATAAATTGACCTTACCTAAAATGGTTAAAAATTGTTTATAATCCCTGCTAAACTTTAACTGAAATGGTTATGGAACTTTACATGAACGTTTAATGATAAAGTTTCAACCTTATGTATTATGGTTTTTTGGAACTGGACCTTACAAATAATGGGTTGTTAAGAACCATTACCATTCCAAATACTTGTTTTCTCCATACATTTTCGGAAAGAGAACTATATTAGAACCATTTAACTTATGGTTTGAGAACTTTAATGGTAATGGTTATGGTAGTCAGTAAGGTCCACGAATGGTTTTGTAACATCGATCAACTTTATGTGGAATATATCACGAATTGGTTGCCTGTAATTTACTGATTACCAATTCACGATATATTCCACGTAAAGTTGAGCGATAATACAAAACCATTAATGGACCTTACTGACTACCATAACCATTACCATTAATGTTCTCAAATCATAAGTAAAAACGTTCTTATATAGTTCTCTTTCCGAAAATGTATGGAGAAAACAAGTATTTGGAATGGTAATGGTTCTTAACAACCCATTATTTGTAAGGTCCAGTTCCAAAAAACCATAATACATAAGGTTGAAACTTTATCATTAAACGTTCATGTAAAGTTCCATAACCATTTCAGTTAAAGTTTAGCAGGGATTATAAACAATTTTTAACCATTTTAGGTAAGGTCAATTTATGCGGGGGGTAATTTTTAATCATTTTTAAATTATCTTCTTGCAATAAAAATGGTTGTTGGTTGCTAATCCTCGGGTCCACGGCTGCTGTTGATGAGCTTATCAACGACAGGCAAACACACTCTAGTATGTGGTGTATTGAAATTTCTGTAAATCTTTTCATACATGAATTCAATATTGTTTTGTCATAACCATCAACCAGTCAGCCATGTAGGTGTAATAAAGTTCAAAAAGGTATTAATTTTCCTCATTGGGTTCCAAATGCCGAGAATCCCACCACGCATGCTCTCACGGGTTATTAAATATAAAACGTGAAGAACTACAATGGTAAACATTTGCTGCGTCACGGCCATCGGTCTTCTCGTTCATTTACCAGCAGATTGCTTCTTCCGATGAAATGTCGAATATGTCGATAAATAATATAAACATTGCTATCTGTCACCTGGTGTGTCTCGAACGCTCGAACTCTCGAACTCTCTTTAACCAGCGATGCAAATCGATAACAAGGAGATTATAAATGTGCATCGATGGCAATCTTTGTTGTTCTTTGTCAAAGTTCAAAGTTACGATGATATCAGTATTTAAATATTTCTTGATGAATATTTGTAAAGAATACTAAAGTCCATGTGAGATATCGAAATTAAAAGAAATTTAGTATGGCACCTTTATAGATTACTATCATATGACCGATGAAGAAATAATCTTAAATGTAAGTATCGAGCAATAAAGATTTTTAAATGTGTACATCGAAATCATAGAAAATTTAAAGTAAAGGATTGCCGACATAAATCTTTATTTCTGTATAAAGCACTTTGAAGAAGTTTCACGAACGGTTGGTCGGGATTTCAAAACAAACCGTTGTTGCCAGTAAAAATTTAAAAGCTTTTTTAAAACTAAAAAATACAGGGTTTCCTTGAGTTTACCTCACGGCCCCAAAGCGATCTGGAATCACAACCCAGTGGTCATCCGGACAGTACTAGACAGCGGGACACCCAGTAAGGCTCCCTCGGACTTGAGACATCCCACACCTGACACCATGGAGTAACACCATTTTGTGAAGGCCCCGACAGGCCCGCTGAAAATCACGACGTTTTCAGAATCAAGGCGGGGCCAAAACTCTTGGAATTACTGCAAGGAACGAAGTCTTCGACAGGAATGCCGGA